AGTGATACTGCTATAATGACAAGGTACATATTTTCAATATTTTCATATTGATTATATTACGATAATCAAGATACCATGATTTCTAACAACTACGGATAGTCCTCATTTAGCAACCACAATTGGAATAGGAATCTTGGTTGTTAAACAAAAGGATAGCTAAGTAAAAATTGTGACTGTGGTAACAACCTTACTTCAGCTTTCCTTTCCAGATCAATGAAAGTCGTAAATGTGAGAATTGGTTGCAATATTGTTTCATCATCATCACAACAGTAAACAGTCAATCTAAAAAGCAGCTGTTAAACAAGGACTATTTGTATTTTCTGTAAATGTCATTATTTTAACTGAAGTAGGTGGATAAATAGGTATTAAGAATAACTTGTATATGCCCTCTCTCAATAATTGTTCCTTTAGCTAGGATTTGGACCTAGGTTATCACCCTCACTCTTCTCATAGAAGGATAAACAAAATGTCCCCCAAATGTTTAAAGGTTAACATATGTTGTTAAGGAATGGCTGAAGGAACAAATTGCCAGGTGAAAATTACAATAAAGTACAAAAGTAAGTGTTTGAGGAGCTGCTGATTTAAGACACCAGTTTGTTGTACTTTGAGATAATTTATCTTATACTTGAGCACACAAACCTACATAAGAGCTATTCTTCCAAAATCATCTATAGAAAATTAGGAGCACATATGGTTGCGTCTGACAAGCTACAGTACATGCCTTATGCAGTCAAGACAGCAATTCTTTCCAACATTCTGACAAAAAAGAGGAGAAATTCAAAACTGATCAGTTTTACCAAAACAAGTAAAGCCACCAACAATTATTATTTTTTGCATAACATACACAAATATCAATGTCCTGCACATTTAGAAATAGAAGAGATGCCAGTGATGTTACCTAGCATTCTGCATTTCTCCAACCACATTTTCAAACAATGGTAAAAGAATTCTCCAAACAGAAACACTTCATTGATTTTTTTTCTCAAACTGTCATGTTCATGTGTAGTTGTAGAAAGAATTTGTGAATTATAATGTTTTCTTGAAGACCTGACATGAGTGACATGATTAATGGAAGTAGAACAAATATAGTTGACATTACATCATTGTATTTCTCATAGTTTCACTTGGATGTCATTATTCTTATACAATATGCATGATTTTGCCACTTCAAGTATCACTGCTAAATTGATGGGAATGAAAAGTGCTCAACTTTTACTGGAATATCACCATTCTCAAGGTACAGTGAAAATTGTAATTTGTCTACAGTCAAATTACTATTAAGGACAGGCATTTAAGTCCTTCCATATAGATAAAGATTTAAGTATAATATTTCAATAGAAGAAATGGTGAAAGTAAAGCACTGACTGTACATTAGAAAACAATGGATAAATGTCAGGTCTTGAGCATACTTCCCAATTTAGCATTCTGTAACAGATGGAACGAGAACTCCCAATATATCTGAAATACACACCAACACTTCATATTGAGAAAGGCAGGTAGTGAACTTCAATTTAGATTTCTTCTTGAAGAGAAGTTTACTAAGTAGTTTTACACTGCTATCTCAACTCAATTCCTCTTTCCATAAAAAGGATCATAACTAATACAACTGTTATTACCATAAATGCAAAACTTGATTGAATGGAAATATATAGTTGCATGCAAAAGTTTAGGCACCTCTGATTAAATTGAATAGTTCAGTGAATCCCTAAGACAGGGGTGTCAAACTGGCAGCCCATGGGCCAGATGTGTCATGCCCACCCCAGCTCTGCAAAGGAGAAAAACATTGCAATATGTCACATGATGGCAACGTGACAGCCGCAAGTTTGATACCTGTGCCCTAAGGGAATAGAAAATGACATTATTCTTTCTGGACATTTGAATGCTATTGTTTACAGTTTTGAAATAAAAAATGGTAAATATGGTAGGTATAGGAGTTTGAATCTTTAATGAATACTTTGTAACCCTCCTAAAATAACAGCTTCCAAATATTTCCTACACCAGGTTTTGGGTTTTTTTTTAGTTTTTTTCCTTCCAGTCTTCCTTGCAGAACTTTTCTTGCTCAAAAGTATTTCTGCCTCCTTGCCTCCACAAACTTCATGTTTGTGACCTTTCTGTAGTTTTTCAATAGCATTCAAGTATAGAGACTATGAATACCATTTCAAAACTTTTTTTTAAATTGTTAGTACTTCTTGATCAATTTAGTTTCAAACCATTTCCTTCAGACTCTTCAATTTTTCCATTGATCGTTGGTTATTAGCTTTTAGGATATGTTAACATTTGATTGAATCATTTTTTCCTTATACCACACAGTATTTCTTGTGCCACTCTGCCCCATAACTCCAACATTTTTGTAATTGTTGTATAAGAAATGTGGTATGACCTTGCAGAAAACAGCAACCCCAGCATCAATTAAAATTTTCAGCATTATGTACATTTATCTCTGGGGGTTCTGTTTTGTAGATATGGCCAGTTTTGGGAGAGGTTTACCAGAGATTTTTATTTGCCCAACAGATCTTTCAATGACTTCACCAGCTCCTGGATTTTCTGAAAAATGTTCCCCACAGTTGAAATTATTCAGCTGAAAAATTTGGAATTATTGTTGCTGTTCTTTTTAAATAGCCTTTCCTTGCTTTCTAAGAATGAAATATTCTTTCAAACGTTCATTGCTTGACAGAAATTCATGATTATTAGACAAACAGTTGCAGCCTGACAGCTTAGAAGGATCAGAATATGTATTCATGGATGGGGTTGTCTTTACCAAGCTAACTATAGGCCTCATGATTCAATACTTTTGGAAGGCTTCTTAGCAACTTTTTAGACCTGAACCAACTGGATGAATGTCCAAATTTCTGCATCTATCATAGTTTGTTTCCTTATTTTGAACTGTAAAAAACTTGCGTTCATATTTGAAAAAATTGTGTACAGTTTCTGTCATCTTATGTTTGTCTTCGAATTCTTAGAAACGTACTATTAGATGAGGAATGCCTAACTGTAGACTTTCAGTGTAATGACAAAGATTTTGTCTTAGGCCTAGGGGAAAACTAGCATTGCCCTAGTTCAAATCACACTTGACTGTCTGATTTATGCAAGCTTCTGTTTTAACAACTTGTGGAATATAATGTCCCAGCCAGGCCAGAACCATGGGAATAAATCTGGTTCCCTATCATAAACTAGCAAGCTTACCTCAAACTATTATTTCTCAACCTCCCTAACATGATCAGCAATATGAGAAGTAATATTTATTTACAGAGTTGTTTTAAGGATTGCTGGTAGATTTTGCTAGCAAATTATTTGATTATGAGAGTTTGAGTTTGCCTATTAAATGCTATTATTTCAACTTCAGATACCATATTCAATACAAGATTATTAATACCAGCCTATTTTACAGGCCATAAAGCTTTTGAAATCTGTTGAATGCTTTCACTACTTGAGATATACTAGTAAGTGCTGTAACTGTTGGAAATGGGAATTATGAAGAAACTTGTACATTATTTTAAAAACTCTATATTTTAGTAAAATATTTACTTCTACCAAACTCTCAGAAATCACATTTATGCTGTTATATTCGTTCCACAATTATGAATTATTCATAATTCAGTCTTCCTTCTTAATCCTCCAGTCTTCTTTAATAATTATGAATCATAATTCTACAATTCTAATAAAATACCTATCCCAATCTCTTTTTTAGCTATTTCACTACATTAAATTATTTTTGAATCAAGGTTCTTCCTTCATCCTCTTTCCTGGGCTCCATTTCTGCACCTATTCCTATCAGTCTTTTTCTTGATAGAAAATAACCAATGTGTTTTAACTTTCCATCCCAACTTTTAGATAAAGTTTGTTTACTTCTGAGGAATATTGATGGTTTTTACACCTTTATTACCTTCAAAATGTTTTAGCAACTGCACATTTTCAATACTTGCAAATGTTGTTTCTTAGAAGAGCCATTACACAATTAACTTCTAAATACGTTCCAATGTATTTCTTCCCATTTCATTGTCACTGAATAATACTGGCATTCTTCTATTTTCAGTTAAACGTTTTAACGCAATCGAGCCACATCAATATATCACAAATAACTCTATAATGGGGTTTTCTGTACATACCGGTACATACATTACAATGAAAATTCCAAAACTTTTACAAAAGCCTCATCTGAAGTGTACTTTCACACTTGACAGATGGAGCCCAATTCTCCATATGCTCTTTGCAATAGTCCACTTCATGATCAAGAAATTAAATTCAGGTGAGTGAGAATAAGATTGCAGTTTTAAAGTCTAAATTGTCTTAGGTTTGGGGGTATTTTTGGCTGTGTTTTTATTTATAATTTAGATATAAAATATACCGAGGCCAGGATTTTTACTTTACTATTCTACACTCCCCCCCCCCTTTTAAAAAGGAAATATATTCACAATCACACCTCATATTAAATAGCTCAAATACACTTTATATTATTTGGAAATGCCTTAAGGTGATCAAACCTGCAGAGTCATCCAAAAAGAATGGGTGCTTTACTCTAGGTGCTCTCAAATGCCCAACCACTAGTCTTATTCACTGAATTTTAAGCAGGAGACAACACGTTTCCTCCACATGTAAAAACCTCTCGTCTTTTCTCAACTATCCTTTGATGCTTTTTTTTTTTTTTTAATTACGTGGAAAACCGTGAAGGAAGAAAAGACAAGATTAGAAGCAGAATATGCCTTCCGACTCGTAGTACTAAGATCCCTGCGTACGGAAGCGCCCTGTCACGTTTCTACAGAATTCAAGGGATGCTCGTTTTGCAAAGCGCGTAAAAAGGGACTCCAGGGCATTCCGCAGCAATAGGATGCGCCGCCACACCTCTGACCTCACCGCGCGCCGAAGTGTCCCTCGCCTCGGACAAGGCATTCCACCGGGTCACTCCTCCGACAGGTGGGGGGCTCCACCCACTTCCCCACCCATGTGGCAGCACAGTCACCGCCGGAGCGCACGCGTCTGTCCCCGACACCCGTGGTACTCACACGAACGCGTGATAGATGAAAGCCCAGCCTCTGGGTCTCTCCAACACATTGTAGAGATAGTTCTGCAGCTTCCGGTACTTGGCATTCCGCCGGTAGATCGGGTTGCTGCTGTAGGAGAGCGGTTTCCCCAGTAGGCTCATCCGGGCTCTTCCTTGCTTGCCTCGCCGGCTCTCTCGCAAGCCAAACCCGCCGCCGGTGCCCAGGAGGAGCAAGCCGTCCCCTCGGGTGGGCGCCGAGTTCAGGAGCACCCTGCTCCGACCGGACTCCACATCCTTCATGCCGCTGCTGTTCCCGCTGCAGCCGTAGCGCCCCGCCGAGCTGCTCTTTAACCAGATCCCGGCGGAGCCGCCCTTGTCATCTCCTCCGCTGTAGCTGCGGGGCATGGCATCACGGCAGGGGCAAAAACAGCGGCAATGGTGGCGGCGGCGGCAACTGGGGATGGGAGGCGAGCAGGTTCCTTCTTGGGCTGAGGAAAGGAAAAAGAGGCGGTCGAAGAAAAACTGGGGCTGCAGTCGCCTCGCGTTTTCCCCACAACTCCCGCCAAGGAGGAAGGGGGCTGAAGGAGCCGTGGGGGCCACCTTGATAATCCACAGGGGGAGATGTGGAGGCTTTTGGGAGTGGGGGAAGGGTGGGGGAAGCGCTCGCACTCCGCTCCCCTTGGAGATTCCCGCTTGGCTCCGGTTTCCTTCAGCGGCTTCGGCAAAGCTTCATTTCCTCAGCTGCCTTTCTCTTTTTTGAGAAACTTTGGAGTAGAATAAGGTACCGAGTTCTCCTTAAAGGAACAGAGCGCTGCTCTTCCCTCTCCGCCTAAGACGAGATCCAGGGGCAACCATGGTTGACACCAGGCAAACGAGGAACTGCTTTGAAGAAAGCCGGGGAGGTGGGGGGAGGCGGCGAGAAGCCTGCCGCCTAGATTTACAGAAACTGTTTGAAAACAAGGGGAGGGCAAAAAAGAAAGAAAAGAAACGAAGGCTGGAGAGGCTCCCGCTTCGATCCGTGGCCGGTATTTTGCTTTGGCGACGCTTCCCGAGCGAGCAGACAGGCAAGCTGTTGTCTCTCGTGCAAACGCTGGCGAAAAGTACTCGCTGCTACCGAATAAACCGGATAGGAAGAGCAAGGAGGGGCTCAGAGGAGGCTGTGCCCGCGAGCCTCCGGTCCCTCGAGCCAAATAGCAGCAAAAGATATAAAGAGAGGCAAGTCAGCACCGCAAGAAGGAAATCTTCCTCGAAAAGTCAATAAAACCGCTTCGGGTCCAGCCGTCGCAGCAGCTCCAGCTCGGGGAGAACAACAACAACAAAAAGGTGGAGAAACCGATCTCGACTATTACGAATTTTGACCATTAAGCTCGTCTCTGTTGAGTTATAACAGTTCCTCCATCGGGTTAAGAGCGTCGCGCAAAACAAGGACCTTTTCCTTATGCCTCTCTCCCCCCGCGCCAGATCTATTCTGCCAAAGCTGGAGAGAAATTACCGTATGCGTAAAAACGCACCGGTGCGAAATCCGCCCAGAAGAACGGAGAGCGGGAGGGACCTCAGAGGAATCCCCCTTTGCCTCTTTCCGCACACTCTCTCGCCAAGTTCCAGAGAAGTTTCAGCCAGCTTTGAGGCGAAAGAAAGATGCGCCTGGGGGTGGGGCGGGGGAAGGCGGGCGAGAAAAAAACCGCAAGATGTGACCGAGGAGAGAAGAAGAAGAAGGGAAAAAACAAACAAAAAAACCCACCCCAAAAAAGAAACCTACGCTTCCAAAGAGGCCGCGGCTCTTCTCTCGCTCTTTTCCCACCGCTGGAAAACGAGCCCTTGTGAGGAGCCTTGCCGTTTTCCCGCTCTTCTCTTATTCATGGCGACCCACGCTTTAAGAAGCAGGTGGCTTGCGGAGACCCGCCTGCCCCCCACCCCCCATTTACGTTTTCTCCGACCACACGACCTCCCCGGCCCTTGGAGACTGACTGGGTTGACTCCGAGCGCTCCGAGGCGATGCGCGGGGTCGCTAGTGGGAGCCGCTTCCGTGTGACTCGCAGCGGGTCCCCAGCGGGTCGAGTTAGCTGCTCTCCGTCAGAATATATCCCCCCCGAGAAAGAAACCAAACCTCGGGGAAAGGTGGGGGAAGATAGTGTAAGTGGAAACCCAAGGAAACCCCCGGTCAGAAGGGCCTACAATTTCCCCCAGCTTCAAGTCTACAGGCTGGCTTGCTTCTTCTCCTCCCTTCAGTATTTTTACAGGGAAAATATTTTCCGTAGCTTAGATCTTGCTGTCCTTTTTTTTTTTTGCTTGCTGCTGCTAAGGCTCAGCCTGACGTTGGCTTCCAAATTTAAATTGGGCAGACAAGCCTGCCATCCACAAGCAACTACATGTTTCGAAAAGAAAGCAGATCAGGAAATGATGCTGTGACAGCAAGTGCAGCCAGGGATTGAGGAGGTCGCTCTCAGCCTCCCAGTCGAATCAGTATTTGACTCATGCCCGGGTAACCTTTCTGAGCCCTATTCTGCCACCTAAGGAGGCTGCTGACTAGGGCTGTCCTTGCAATTTTAATGTGGAAGCCCTTAAGGAAAGATACTGGAGTATATCCGTATTCATATCTGTGGCTGTTTGCTCTCCTGCCACTTCATCCTCAAGAAATAACAGGATTCCCCCCCCCCCCCCCCACAACTGGGCATTATCTTCTGAACAAGTGTCCTAAAGTAGTCAAAATGACAAGTCACAGCTGCAGAGGAGGGACCCAGAGCAAAGCATGAGGGTGGGGTTGATAATGAACTATCTTTAGTTCCTACTGCAAGAAAATGCCAACATTGCTAGCAAGTTCAATTCTGTCCTTGTGATAGCCTTAGAGCCATAAGGGAGCAGTTAGAAAAAATGATCTCCCCTTTGTATTAAAAATGATAAAAAGTGATGCCATCAGAAGCCCCATGTTTAAAGCAATGGAGAACGTTTAATGTACCCTTTGGTAACCAAATCTACAGTTCAAATCTGACTCTCTTTTCTGGTTTATTTGACTTCAATGCAGCATAGATTTGGTGATCTTTCAAATGCCAGTCAAACATTACATGGGCGTCTGTATTAGCCAGGCTTCCACTAACTTCAGGCAACTTCTTCCAAAATGTATATGAAGGGCACTCCAGCCACAGGAGAGGTGTGTCTGCCTGCTGCAAACTGAAGGGACCAGTAGGAACTGGGGAGATTACATTGGCCATATCAACATCATTTCAATTGAATCCTCAGCGCAAGGGGAGGAGAGGAAGCTATATCAGTAGAATGGACACAGCTAAAGACAGCTTGAAATTGTCAGAGCTGTTGGCTGGAGATGACATGCAGGCAACATCCTGGGAACACGGCATAGGTTAGTAGGGCATATTTGTACTGTGGTTAAGTGTACAAATGAGCTTTCAGCATTTCAGGTTTCATTTGAGAGCTGTTTCATTGCCAGAGTTGTAAACATCTGAACTGAAAGGCACTAGAATACACTGAAAAAAATCTGCATACACATATAATCTGCATACTATGTCTAAATACAGTTCTCTCATTTCAACCCTCAGCTACAAATATTCTTGTTTATTGGTACAGCTCTTTGAGACTGTAGTATTATCACTCCTTAGGAATAAACTCCACTGAAATTGGTGGAATGTACTTTTGACTAAACATGCATGAGAATTGTTAAACTGCAGTTCATTTTTAAATTACTGTGCAAAGGAAAGGTACAACTCCAGGCGTTGTCAGTTAAGCATTAAAACAAAGGGGAATTTGGTAGCACCTTTCTGACTAAGAGATTTTATTGAAAAGCCAAGCTTTTTGTATTGCAGCTCACTTCATGGAAGCTTAGGCCTTTCAATAAAGTGTGTTGGTCAAAAAAAGTGCAAGTGGACTCTTAATTTTTGACTGCCATAGACTACCATGGTTCCACAATGTCACTTTAAGGTTTGAGAATAGCAACTCAAGTGAAAGAAGAAATAAAAGCGCTGCCAACTTCTCTGTAAAATAAACAAATATTTCAATTTATCTAGTACAAAGCTTAAAAGGAAAATGTATCAAACAACAAGATCCAGAGACACTGAACAAATGGGGCTATCTGGTTGCTTCTGGGAGCTTATAACAAAGTAGAGATTATATAAAAGTTTTGTAATCCTTCAATTTTCTTTCCTTTTTTCATATGCCTCATATGCCCTATTTCTTATATGAAATATGTATTTATCTGATTGATACTTTAATGCATGCCACACTTTTCTCAAACAAGGTGGTCATACGAGCACTCTTTGTTGCATAATTCAGAACAAGAGCTGCCACTTTCTCCATGATTAATGACAAAAACCCTTACTTGAAACAGAACTAATTCAACTTTTTGTGTCATACATAGGGAGGAAGAGGTTCTATTTTTCCCAGTTTTCTCTTCCTTTCCTTAACACTATACCAATAATGCACTATGTGAGTTAGGTCAGTTGCCAATTAAGCTAAAGAATAAAGTCAAGCCAATCTCCATTTATTAAAATTTATTTATTTATATTTCATACTTCTTAACCACCCTTGTAGAAGGGCTCTGGGCGATGTACAATTTAATCCAGACAAAATGCAACAAAATTTCAGAAATGGTCAATTGATTGCAGAGTTAAATGAAATATAGGAATAAACATTGGATGTATATCAAAACTTCCATCCTTAAAGGGAATTAATTCAAAATGCTTTCCAGAAGGCTTTCTCAATCTTAAGCTATTGTGACCAAGACAAATCTCAGTACAAATATATTTTGATGGGAGATGGTAACTTCCAGAGCGGGAAACTCACAATCATTCACCAGTGTCTCAGATGACCTGACACACCTAATTATTCTCAAGACTGTGCTATGGGCCCATATTCCAAATCAGGACAATTCAAAATCTTCAAAAAGTTTATTTTTAAGTATGCATCATCACAACTCTCAATATTGCAAATGTAGTGGTATCACCAGTCTTTTGTTGTAGACAAATAACACTTAACAGCTCTCAAATCATAATATTATATTTCTGTGTTAATACATCCTATGCAATAGTGGAATAAGCAGTATGCATCATACAGTTGTGTTTTGTGTGCATTTTTATTGATAAAACCCCCTATTGTCTATACCTTTGGCCACTTCTCGGTAACATTATTCAGAAATTCAGGGCATCACTTATATTTTCTGGCTTTCCAGAAGATGAGTTTTCTAAAGCTTAAAATAGTAATGTTAGGGATTGAAGAGTTTTATTTTTCCTTTAGGGCATTAAAATATAAAATCAGTAGCTATATTAAAAATGCAGATCTAACTTGAGCTCTGGAGAATTATGCCCAGCAACTGGGCGGAGGGGGGAGCAGAATCTGCTTTTGCAGGATTTTACAATAATATTTGCTTTTGGCATTGTGCAGTGTATGTATTGTGGTTA